CTCACAAACAATGCAACCCCACCCAGACCACTCCACTCACAAACAATGCAATCCCACCCAGACCACTCACAAACAATGCAATCCCACCCAGACCACTCACAAACAATGCAATCCCACCCAGACCACTCCACTCACAAACAATGCAATCCCACCCAGACTTTACTGAAGGGCAGCTTTGGATTAGGGTAGTCAGGGGGTGACTATGCTGCCGCTCTATGCAGTACAACCATGCACAGGCAACATTGTCACCCCACTGGAGGAAGTGCCAAGATGTAGATAACCGATTACGGTTTTTACAAACAGAGGAGTGCAGAGAAGATGGATTTTGCAGTTTAAGGCGCACTGACTTCCATGCCATCGGTCTCTGAACTAGTCCCAGGCTGACTTGTACGATTCTGAGACAGAATTGTTTTATCTGAAATCTTTAAAGGAGAACTATAGATTTTGCTGACTGGATCAGTTTGGATTTACATCATAGAAGATATATCCTTCACCCATTCAACGAGCCGCTATGCCAATCAGCAAACAATGAGTTTTTAATAACAAAGTAACACTCATCCTTACAAAAAAAAAGAAGTTTCATTTATTTGACACAAATACAAAATAAGAAGAAATAGATTTACTGAAAGACGAAGATATAGAGAAGAGATGTGACACGGTTCAGACAAGACAAAGCAGAGAATATATTCTACAAATAACTCGCAGCTGACTCCGGAGCGACACGGGGCAGCGCGGGCCGCGTCCCTGCCGTTCTGCACTGACATAAAATGAAGAGATTAATCCGGGGGACGCGGCGGGGTTGCGCGGCCCCTCTCAGCAGACATATAGATCAAGCTCTGCTGCGAAGGCGATGACATCAGAGGCACTCCGGTTAATGCGACACCGTCAGACGACATCCGAGGATAACGTTAAATGATACGCGGGTGCAGGGAAGGGTCAGAGGTCGCGCTGAGGCCTCATCCTTCCTGCCGCTGTAATTGTATAATGGCCGCGTACTTTACACGCGCGGCGAGAACCGCAAAATGTTAATCACACAAATGAGGCGGGCGCGATCTGTGTGCGTGACACGGAGAGCACACGCTGGGCTGGGACGTGGAATTATTTTCTTGGTGTCTTCAAGCAAACGATTTAAAGGCTACGTCCACTTTATAGAGCATATCTAGGGTGTACCATGAATCGTGTTCACATATAACATCTGCAAACCCAAAATGACCCCCTCCCCCCCTTACTTGTATCACCAGGTGCTTCTGCCTGCAGCATATTGCAATTATTTGAATTTGGCTCCACCCACACAGCCCCATCACGATGCAAGATGGACAATGCAAATAATCTGGGACTATTAACACAGCACCTAAGGAGATCCCGCCTCCTCTTTATCATTTAATTGAAGTGCTTTTATCTGCTGTTGGGGCAGAGGGTAAGGTAGCCATCTTGGGCGCGCTCAGTAGAATATTATACAATTTTACACAGGAGCCAATGATGTCTTTGGAGTGTGGGAGAAAACCCCCACAGAAGCGCACTCAAAACTCCATGCAGATAGTGTGGCCTTCAAAACAGCACAAGATCCATGTTTCAGAAAACACCATTAGAATCTGCATGTTACATACAACTGTCACTTTAATTTGCATTTCCATTGCATAAAGCTGCTCCAAATCAGTCCCGCGTACCGTTCCCATCAATTCCCAACGGAATACAATCAGGTTAACTTTCCTCCCCCCCCCCGGTAATAATGGCGCTGACCTTTGGGAGAGTTATCGCTAGAACGTATTTTACCGAACGAGTAAATGATTCCAAATATCATTATGGACGAAAGAAACAAGGAACAATCTCTGGATGTACATTATTTTCACATTACAGGTTCTGCGCGTCAAAGCCGACCCCGTTCCCTTCACTGTAACAAAGGAGACATTGATATATCCTGTCATTGTTTGTGTCTCAGTTTAAGTATAAAAAAAAATGGAAACAAAGAGAGTGATAAAAGTGTTGTGTGAACAGTTATTTATTAGTCTGTGCTCAAGACTCCACTAGACCTCTGAAGGTATGCTGTGGTATCTAGACGACCCCCCGCCCCAATATTGAGTAGGCCCCCCTTCTCTTGACCCATCCAGGCATGGACTCCACTAGACCTCTGAAGGTGTGTTGTGGTATCTAGATGACCCCCTCCCCTAATATTGAGTACGTCCCCCTTCTCCTGACTCAGCCAGGCATGGACTCCACTAGATCTCTGAAGGTATGCTGTGGTATCTAGACGACCCCCCGCCCCAATATTGAGTAGGGCCCCCTTCTCCTTACTCATCCAGGCATGGACTCCACTAGATCTCTGAAGGTATGCTGTGGTATCTAGATGACCCCCTGCCCCAATATTGAGTAGGTCCCCCTTCTCCTGACTCAGCCAGGCATGGACTCCACTAGACCTCTGAAGGTATGCTGTGGTATCTAGATGACCCCCTGCCCCAATATTGAGTAGGTCCCCCTTCTCCTGACCATCCAGGCATGGACTCCACTAGATCTCTGAAGGTATGCTGTTGTATCTGGATGACCCCCCCCAATATTGAGTAGGTCCCCCTTTTCCTGACCCGTCCAGGCATGGACCCCACTAGACCTCTGAAGGTGTGCTGTGGTATCCGGCACCAAGCCGTCAGTAGCAGATCCTTTAAGTCCTGTAAGTTGTAAGGTGATCGGCCTCCATGGATCGGACTTGTTTCTCCAGCACATCCCACAGATGATCGATTGGATTGAGATCTGGAGAATTTGGAGGCCAAGTCACCACCTCAGACTCATTGTTGTGTTCCTCAAACCATTATTCCCCCATGTGTGCAGTGTGGCAGGGCTCATTATCCTGCTGAAAGAGGCCACTGCCATCAGGGAATGCCGTCTCCATGAAGGGGGGGACTTGGTCAGTAACAATGTTTAGGTCGGTGGTACGTGTCAAAGTAACATCCACATGAATGGCAGGACCTGAGGTTTCCCAGCAGAACATTGTTCAAAGCATCACACTGCCTCCGTCGGCTTGTCTTCTTCCCATAGTGCATCCTGGTGTCATCTCTACCCCAGGTAAGTGACACACACGCACCCGAACATCAACATGATTCAACAGACCAGGCCACCTTCTCCCATTGCTCTTGCTCAGTGGCCCAGTTATGATGCTCACGTTCCCATTGTAGGCTCTTTTGGCAGTGGACACAGGTCAGCATGGGCACCCTGAGCGGTCTGCAGCTACACAGCCCCATAAACAGCAAACTGTGGTGCTCTGTGTATGCAGGCAGTGACTTGGGACACAGCTGTAAGGAAACAGGGGAGTAGGAGAGAAGCCTCTGGACCACAGCATTAGGTTAATTAAAAAAAGGGAATTTAGTGATTGGT